TGGATAAATAAATGCTACAAGATGCTGACATGCATCCTGACTGGATTATGTTGTCAACTCAAGTAAATAAACAGAGGAAATCAACACTGTGAAGCAAAACAAGAAACATCTGTGGACATACTTCTGTTTTCAACTACAACAGAGCGTTTCATGCCATGATTAACATCTTTTTTTAGCCCTGGGTTAAAGCTAGACTTAACCCTGGGTTAAACAATACTTTTGCAAAATTCAGACACAATGAAATACTACAGTGTAAGGGCCAAATGTTTTGTGTCAGATATCCAATCATTAATTGCTTCAATGCTTACCTCAATAAATATCCTCATTTTGAATAAAGTCATCCAAAAAACGTGAAGAAAGAAAGTGGCCAATTTATCATAGAGAAAGCATTAAAAGATGAATACCTCAGGCAGACCCCTGTGTACAATATAATTGTGGCAAACAGGGCAGGGCCGAAAGTCGTGGGAATGGAGCGAGGCCGGTGGCGCGAGTGCTAATGAGAGACACCTGCGTGCCACACGTCTCGATTCGCAAGGAGGGACTATATAAGAAGGAGGGAGAGAGAGGACCAGGTCTGGGATACTTTATGTTTTTTCTGTGCGGCAGTCGACCATGAAGTGGCTGCCACTTGTATTGGTTATTTTCTGAATGAAGGTTTATGTTTAATTTGAGCAATTGCAATTTCACAATGCATGGTACTGGCGCATGATATTTAATCTATTCACGAACAACCTGTCATCTGGTTTAACCAGGGGCTAAATATGCTGAAATATTGAATATTTAAATTATATTCTGAACATTTTCAACACAAACCTCCCTAAATTAGGTTTATTTTAGATTATTCATAACCTAGCAGTCAGAATCAAAGTGCACAGTGGGGAACTGCACCATGCACACTGTGTTCAGTACAAATTTTGTGGGTACGTTTGAGTCATTACCTAATTTAATTCCTTCATTGAACCAGGCACCAAAACAACACTTGCATATAAACTGAGCTATATTCATTCTTAGTGAATTTCCCCCACTGCATTAAAAAAAAAAAATCACGATTAGTGTCCAGATGCACGATAATCTTTAGAAACCAAACCACAGTAACTACATCAACACTGAAGCATGAAAAAATATTGAATTCTGACTGCTTTGAAATACAATTTCACACTCTGTTCTCTCTGAATCTAAACAAGCCAAACCCATTTGTCACCAGAGCTGGGTAGATTACTTACAAATCGTAGTCTGTTACAGATTACATGATGAAAACTGTAGTTAGTAACGTAATCTAGGTTACTTACTTTAGGCAATGTATTCTCTACTTTTTAGATTACTTTTTATTCAACTTGTTTAACACTTACCATTAAACATACCATATTGATATAAAACAGCAAAGAGAAAGAAAATATATTCCTTAAAATATTTCTTTCTTTCTTTCTGTCTGTCTGTGTCTTTATGAATATAGTCAAAGCTGCATGGTTTGACACACAGTAGGATTTTTAGAAAGGAAAATTTAAAAGAGGAAAAAAAAAAGAATTAGGGAGAATCACTAAATTATGAATAATTTACTGCCACTGTGTGAATAATATGTAATCATGTAATCCATAAAAAAGAAATTGTAATCTGATTATGAGCACTTTCACAAGTACTTAATTTTTGGAATCTGATTACATAATCCATAATACATGTAATCAGCTACTGTTTGTCACAGGGCAGAACGTATTGTAGGTGTCTTTGCATGACAAAATAATTATTACTATAAATAGATAAAAGGCTTCAATTTGAGTCACTGTTGCTGTACAACATAACTGGTATTCATCCATGGATAAAAATCGTAGAGAAAAAGGGACAAACTTTGCCTTGAGACATGAAAGCCCACCCCATCGCACGATACACAGCTCTGAAACATATACCAGTGGAACGAATTTCTTTCACCGCCATTGTTCTGCGGTTCCCTATAACTTCGGAGAGGTCCTCTGTGTTATTCAAGAAGACACTGATCAACATTTCTGACACGCAAGTTTCTGTGGGCAAAGAACAGTCTGTACCAAAATCTGTTTTGCCACTACATTCATACATTCGTATCCCCAGTGGTGAATGCTTTCATGCACTGATTATTAGAGGCACTTCTTGAAGCTTTTGGTCCTTTTGTGAAGTCAATCCAGCAAAATTATTTTTTATTGCTGTATGTTGTAACAGTTCGCATGGTTTGTGAGCTGAGGGCTAAATGTAGTATAATATTTAGGGCTGCCCCCTAATAGTCGACTAATCGTTAGTCGACGAGAAAAGGCTTAGTCGACCACATTTTTTTTTTAGTCGCAGAAAAAAAAAAATCCACAGGAAGTGGCAAAGTCATGCATTCTCTGACGAAAGATCGTTAACAGCTGCTCAGATGCGGTAATTAATATACAGTACATCGGCCAGGACATCCAAATGCTCGCCTATCATTCATCGACCTCAAATATGGATTATCATCTGAAACATGTAAGTAGCAATTTCACACGGCCGCTCGCTCTAACGTTAACCTATAAAAATGTGCGCTATTTCCGTGTTTGTGCGGAATGAGGAAGCGCGCGCCGGTGTGATCACTTGCGCTTAAAATTTTTGGGTCATACAAATAGGAGTTATACATCTTTGTAAGCTTTAAAGACTCTTCTTTTATTTGTGCGCAGTCATAATAACAAAAAAACTTTGTGATTTTGTAAAATAATGAAGCAAACAGTGCGCGTTCTGCCGTCTCATCACGGTCTTTGAACTTGAGCACGTCAAATAAAACGAAACTCCGTGTATACTTGCCTCAGGCATAAGAAATATAGGCCTATCTATAGAAAGCGAAATGTCTGCTTTTAAACGAACCAATTCAGATGGAAAACGTCTCAGGTTACTTATGTAACCATGGTTCCCTGAGTAGGGAACGAGACACTGCGTCCTCTAGGGGTCGCTATGGGGAACGCCTCGTTGTGACCCGTGTCTGAAGCATACATTGAAAAAACACCAAC